TACAGACCCAGATCGAACCCGAATGGGGGAGAGCGTTACTCTCAGAATAGAGAAGGAGCCTATCAAAGCAACCATGGCTTTCAGGGAAACTATCCTAATAGTCGTCAAGGAAATTTTAACGGCAACAACAGTAACAACTGGAACAAAGGAAAAGCAACAGAGGGCCGAACTGATGCCCCTCCCAAATTGAAGTGCTTTTTATGTGATGGACCTCATCGGGTGTCGGAGTGTCCTCAAAAGCGGATGGTGAATGCATATTGTCAGTTAGCAAGTGGCGGGTCAAGTTCAAAGCAATAGGCCCCGCAGGCTAATTGTCATAATGAGACTGACTCTGAAGAGGATGAGGACGTAGTTGGGGCATTTTCACATCGGTGCAACACACTGTCGCATCGGATTGCTGAAAAGGATGATGTCCCATTGAAAGAGGCAAAGATGGAAGAAGCGAAGGCTCGAATTTGTAGGACCAAAGGCTTAATGTACATTGATGTAAAAATCAATGGGAAGCCAATCAGGGCTATGGTGGATACAGGTGCTACCCACAACTACCTTGCATGTACTGAAGTAGAGCGGCTCGGACTTGTTCTAGAAAAGGGTAGTGGAAAAGTCAAAGCCATCAACTCCGCTGCTCAACCAATAGCTGGAGTGGTGAAATCGGTGCTGATCAAAGTAGGTCCTTTCGAGGGAAGGACAAATTTATCTGCAGTTCAGATGGATGATTTCAAGCTTATTCTAGGATTGGAATTTCTTCGGGATACTAAGAAAACAGTGTTGCCATATTTCGATTCGTTAATGATGATGGGTAAGAAGCCGTGTGTCATCCCTACACAGGTTGGGAGGATGGGCGAGAAGAGTATCTCAGCCATGCAATTTAGTAAGGGTTTCAAGAGAAATGAACCCTCTTTTTTGTACACTCTTCGATTAGAGGAGATCAAAGAAGCAAATGGTCCTATTCCAAAACCCGTTAAAAGGCTTATTCGGGAATTTGAGAATATCATGCCGAAAGAATTACCAAAGAAATTACCATCAAGAAGGACGATTGATCATGAGATTGAACTCATTTCAGGCGCCAAACCTCCCACCAGGGCACCATACCGTATGTTTCAGCCCGAGCTTGAAGAGCTTCGGAAGCAATTGGGGGAAATGCTGGAGAGTGGAATCATTGTACCTGCGAAGTTGCTATACGGAGCTCCTGTATTGTTTCAGAAAAAGGCCGATGGTTCTCTTAGAATGTGATGTGACTATCGAGCCTTGAACAAGATCACTGTAAAGAATAGCTATCCTATCCCACTGGTTGCGGATTGCTTCGATCAACTGAGTCGGGCGAAGTATTACACAAAAATTGATCTTAGGTTCAGATACTGGCAAGTTCGGATCAAAGAGGGAGACGAAGCAAAAACTACGGTGGTAACCAGATATGGAGCCTTTGAATTTAAAGTGATGCCTTTTAGTTTGACAAACGCTCCAGCAACATTTTGTACTATGATGAATCAGGTACTTCACGGGTTCTTAGATGATTTTGTCGTGGTGTATTTGGATGACATAGCAATCTACATCGAGACATTGGAGGAACATGTCCAGCATGTGAGGCAAGTTTTTAATGGACTACGAGAGAATGAACTTTACGCTAAGCCGTCTAAATGCTCATTTGCTCAGACATCTATCAGTTTCTTGGGTCACATCATTGAACAAGGTAAAATCCACATAGATTCGAAGAAGGTTACAGCCATCAAAGATTGGCAACCACCAAAAATCGTACATGATGTACGTTCATTTCTTGGGTTATGCAATTACTATCGAAGATTTGTGAAAGGCTACTTAGAAATTGCACTGTCACTTAGTGAATTGACAAAGAAGGATAAGGATTGGGATTGGTCATCCCAATGCCAAGTTGCTTTTGAAAGGTTGAAGAAGTCCATGTGGACGAACCCGATTTTAGCCTTACCGGTTTTGCCCTTGGTGGAGTCCTCATGCGAGAAGGACATCTGGTAGCATATGAGAGCCGGAAGTTAAACCAGACAGAACGTCGTTACTCGGCACATGAAAAGTAATTGTTAGCAGTTGTCCATTGTCTCAGAGGATGGCGTCACTATCTGCTTGGGTCTCCATTTATTGTGAAGACAGATAACATTGCAGTTAGTCACTTCATGTCCCAACCAAAACTATCGAGCAAACAGGCTCATTGGCAGAAATTCCTTTCAGAGTTCAATTTTATGCTAGAGTATCGTCCCGGCTCTAGTAATTATGTTGTTGATGCTCTTAGTCGACGGACCGATTTAGCTGTCATCTACTCTGTAGCTGCTCTTTCAGGAAGCACAGTCTCCACGAACACTAGAGACCAAATTCGAGCACTTATGGAGAAGGACCCGGCTACCCAATATTTGGTCGACCTCATCAAGTAGGGTAAAACTCGACAGTTCTGGCTCGATGGAGAACTAGTGAAGACAAAGGAAGATCGCTTATATGTTCCTAAGGATGGAGATCTGAGGAAATCACTAATTACAGAATGCCATGACACAATTTGGGCAGGGCATCCCGGAGAGGAACGTACTTATGCACTACTGCAACGTGCATACTACTGGCTTCAAATGCGGGATGACATTGCAACATATGTAAAAACCTGTCTTATTTGTCAACAAGATAAGGCAGATCATCAGAAAAAAATGGGCTTGCTGGAGCCCTTTTTCGTCCCATCCCGGCCATTCGAAAGTGTATCGATGGACTACATTATTGGGTTGCCAAAAGTTGAGGATTTTGGCACTATCATTGTCGTGGTGGACCGTCTATCAAAATATACAACTTTCATTGCAGCGCCTAAGTATGTATCTGCAGAAGAGACAGCTCAACTCTTCTTCAAACATATTGTCAAATACTTGGGACTGCCTAAGGACATCGTCAGTGATCGAGATCCTCGTTTCACTGGCATATTTTGGACTGAGTTGTTCAAACTTCTTTGTTCAACTTTGAGCATGAGTTCTAGTTTTCACCCACAATCTGAGGAACAGACGGAGCGCTTCAATTCTATGCTAGAAGAATATTTTCGGCACTTTATCTCTACTTCGCAGAAAAACTGGGTAAAACTTTTGGATGCGGCCCAAATTTGCTTCCATGCCCAAAAGAGCTCTTCTACCAATAAAAGTTCTTTTGAGATTGTTACTGGCCAGCAACCGCTAATCCCTCATACAGTGGATATCGAACGAAGTACCAAGTCTCCTAAAGCAAAGAACTTTTTTCAAGAGTGGAAACGAAATATTGAAATTGCTCAGAGTTATCTTGAGAAAGCTCATAAACAATATAAAAAGGCTGCAGACCTAAAGCGCCGTTTAAACGTCTACTCCTGTCACTTAGGTTTTTGTTTAGAATGCTATTATAGGGGGTATTAGTCCTTCAAAAATCTTTCAAACTCACTGGTGTCCGTCCCCTGCATGAGCATTTGTAATTTTCTGCTTTCATCAATTGTAATATTCAGTTTTCATCAATCAATGTTCAATTTACTTTTAATGTATTCAAATTCTCTATTGTAAGTTTTCCACAAAATTGCAATCAAATTTTCTTTCGTCCCGACGCGACCGAGAAAAGGCGAAAGGTAGTCTAGCGAAGCAGACTACTGCCGCACGGTGTCCCTTTCTGTGCCAAGAAAAAAGGCACCCCGTGAAACTACGTCTGCAACTCAACTCAAGTACTCAAGACTCAACCACTTCTAAAAGACTAAAACCTACCGGCGATGACAGAGTGAGGCGAATGACACTGTGCAGCATCCTCCGGCTCTGGCTCCTGTAGCGGTTTTTTTATCATCGGACGGACTCGACATTCGGAAAGGTAAGAACTAAGAACTACCTTCTACCGAGTGCTAGTATTTTTAGATCCCGGATCTTTATCTTCTTTTTCTAAATTTGAAAAACTTTTAGGTCAATTTTTTAAGAAAACAGTGGCTGAATTTTGTTTCGCTCCTTTGCAGGTTCAGATATGCCAAAGAAGTATGTGATGTGATAGTGGCCAAATGTCTAACGGGGAGGTCGAAAACAATGGAGAAGGCGCAATCAGCTTTTTTGCTGTGGGTAGAGTTGGAGGCTGTTGAGTGTTGAGACAGTTTCTTACTTCTTGGTACGTTTTATATTCAAAATGCAGAAATTTAGTTTACCAGTCACCAGTGCAATGATGTGATCTGCTTTGCAATTTAGCTATGAGGAGCATACTTGGCATTATTAAATTTTATTTGATTAATTGAGCTATTAAACAATGTCTCACTTAAATAGTCGTAAAGATGATTTATATAAGTGATGCATACCTGAATTTGGATTTAGGTGCTTGCTGTATGTTAAATTATCTTATTTCATTTACTGTGTTATATTGTTGGAATGTTGTATAAAGGAAAAAAAGTTGTTTATCAAATATTTGTTTCAAAGAACTTTAGGTCAAATAGTTTAATGTGATGAATTTGTACACTGTTCTACATGTCTTAAAGAGCATTAATTCACTCATTGAAGTAAAGAAGGTTGCAAGAAATACCTTATTTCATTTACTGTGTTATGTTGTTGGAATGTTGTACAAAGGAAAAAAAAAAGTCAATTAATGTACTTCATTTGAATTAGTTAACTGTGGATGAATGATGATTATACATACAAAAAAAAAAGAGGAGGTAGAATTTAAAAGTAACTTCATTCTTATAGCAATAATGAAGTTGAATTTATTGAGTCGAAAATCAAAGGTTATCATTAAAATATTTAGCAAATAAAAAGTTTTGGGTGAGTGAGATTCAAAACTACAAATTGATTTATTTGTCTATTTGTTGCATCTTGGTGAATGATGGCTTATTCCAATTCTATTTGAATTTTTAATCTTAAATTAATCTAACTTGAGCCTCTTTTACTCTCAAATTTCAGTAAGTGTTTGCTGTTGAGTGGCTTGAATAAAATACTATGGCTCCTAAATATGCATCGAGAGCTCAAAAAAGGAAGAAGAAGGAAAGAGTAGAGGCATTAATTTGAAGCCAAGTTGGAGATATGGATAAATACTTTAATGGCAAGAAAAGAAAAGAGAAGGAAGAAACATCAAAAAATTTAACGATTGAAGAGCAACAAAATCAGAATGATATTGATAATGATCATGTTGATGAACAGAAAGAGAACAAGGAAATTATTGAACCTGAAAATATGGATGAGTCAAAACAGAATGATGAAAATCATGTTCAACAAGAAGATTTAAATTAAGAGAATTGCTTCTCTTTGAATTTTAATGATTCTGAAAATTGGAAGGACATTCACATTGATCAAAAGATAAGAGACTTTTTAGTTGAAGTGGGTCCGAAAAGAGCTGATAACATCTTCTTTCCCAGAGATGATAAGGGTAGACATTTTGAATCATCACAATATAAGCGATTAATGGCAAATGGCCAGACAACTGATAAAGATGGTTAGTGTATTCAATTTCTTTGGATAAGATCTTATGTTTTTGCTACAAGTTATTTAAGACAGAAAAAAATGGACAAAAATATTGGCCAATTGGGTAATGACGGATACAATGATTGGCATAATATGCATCGGCGTCTTACACATCATGAAGTGTCTAAGGAGCATATAGGTTGCATGATTAGTTGGATGGAATTGGAAAATAGGCTTCAAACAAAACATACAATTGATGAAAGCATACAATTGTCCATCAACAAAGAAAGAGAGCATTGGAGACAAGTGTTAACGAGAATAATTGCTATCGTGTAAAGACTCGCTAAAAGTACTTTGGCATTTCATGGAGATTATGAGCAACTTTATGTTGAGAACAACGGACTTTTTTTGTAAATGATAGAAATGGTTGCCGAGTTCCATCCAATAATGGAAGAACACATTCGACATGCCCAAGCACGCGAGATTCAATATACATATCTGGGCCCTAAGATTCAAAATGAATTGATATAAATGTTGGCAGGCGAGGTGGGAAGTGCAATTGTCACAAAAGTGAAACATGCAAAATATTTTTCCGTCATACTTGATTGTACTCCAGATGCAAGTAACGAAGAACAAATGTCTCTAGTAATACGATGCGTGGATGATTCGATAGACTCGCCGATGGTACAAGAATATTGGATTGAATTTTTGAAGGTGGATGATGCATCAGGATTTGGACTTTTCATCGAGCTTAAAAATGTGTTAAAGCATCTTGAGCTTGATATTGATAGTATAAGAGGTTAAGGGTATGACAATGGAGCTAACATGAGCGGGAGACATAGAGATGTACAAAAAAGGTTACTTGAAATTAATCCTAGAGCTTTCTATACTCCATGTGGTTGCCATAGCCTTAATCTAGCATTATGTGATATGGCAAATTGTTATTCGAAAGCTATGTCCTTTTTTGGAGTGATACAACGAATCTACACATTGTTCTCTTCTTCTCCGAAACGATGGAAATTTTTTAAAGATAAGGTTCAAGGTCTGACACTTAAGCCATTGTCGCAGACACACTAGGAAAGTCATGTGGAAAGCGTCAAGCCTATAAAAGAATAATCTGTACAAATAAGAGACGCTTTACTTGACTTGGCAAACATTGTTGAAGACCCTAAAACAAAAAGTGAAGCTGAGTCCTTAGCAATATATGAACTTGAAAATTTTGAGTTTTTGCTTGACATAGTAATTTGGTATAAGTTGTTGCATGCAATCAATACTGTGAGTAAATTTTTTCAAGCCGAAAACATGGATATTAATGAAGTCATCAAAATTTTACAAGCACTTATTTCATTTCTCGAAGATTATAGAGGATCTGAGTTTGCCAGTGCCATGGATGAAGTGAAACAAATGGCAAGTGAAATGGGAATTGAAGCTGTATTTCAAAAGAGACGTAGCATTCGAAGAAAGAAACAATTCGATGAAAGTGGCACTGAAGAGATAACATACTCGGCTGAAGATTCTTTTAGAGTTGAGTATTTTCTCTTTATAATTGATCAAACTTGATCATCACTTCAAACTCGTTTTGAACAATTTACACATTATGAAGAGATATTTGGATTTTTGTTTAACATGGATAGATTAAAGAGTGTGCCAGTTGGCAGTTTGCTGAAATCTTATATGAATCTTGAGTAGTATTTAGAACATAATGGACATTCAGACATTATAGGTGATGATTTATGTTCGGAGTTGATCGTCTTGAGGTGCTATTTAACTAGCGAAACAAAAAGAGCAATTGATGTGCTACATTACTTGAAGAAAATGAATGGTTGTTTTCCGAATGCTTGCATTGCTTACAAGATTTTGCTCACCATTCCGGTTACAGTTGCATCAGCAGAAAGAAGTTTTTCCAAGTTGAAATTGATCAAGACTTATATCCGATCAACTATGTCACAGCAAAGATTGAATGGTTTAGCTATGTTATCAATTGCAAAAGAAATGGTTGAACAACTCGAATATACAAAATTGATTGATATTTTTGCCTCAAAAACTGCAAGATGAGCTGTATTTAAGTGATCTTTTAGAACATTTTCACGTTGTTATTCGATTATAATATACATATTTTAAATATTCATTTTTTTGATTTTATGTTGACAAATTTAGTTCCTTAAATCTCTTATAAATGAAAAAAATTAATTGCTTGCTATAATTTATGGGCCCAAAATTTGAATTTCGCCTCAGACCCTGCAAAACACAGGTCCGACCCTGATTATAGTAATCTGGCCTTAATTTTTCTTTTCTTTTCTCTGTTGGGGAAGATAAAAATGAATATCAAATCGTTATAATTTCTTGTGAACGCGTTCAGACTGGGACATTTTGAATTGCATGCCTGACTTCCTATTTATTGTTGTTGGGACCGATTAACCAATAATGCAGGAATTGTGATTAATGACTTCCACTTGTTGTAATTGAAGTATTGAACAAGATCACAAATAACCCAAGAACAAGATTAAAGTAAGTAAAAGAAGAAACGGCAGAAGGAACGATGTTTTATTAATTCACTATGAAAGGAGAGCACATACAACAAACGACTTCTTAACAATACTAAAAGAGGAGCATTGTATTTATAGTATAAAATCTAGCCCTAAAAGAGTCCCAAAAAAAGTAAGAAATCTAATGTAATTTAGACTCCTATTTGAGTCATACTTCTAACAATCTCCACCTTGACTCAAATTCCAGTGCAACGAACGAAACTCCAAAATTTTTCCACCTTGAGAAATAATCCTTCTGCATCAAAATGAACTGACCAATCTCCTCAACGCAATAATCAAACTCTCCACGATAACACGTTTCCCCGCCCGGCGTCCACAAGCGACACCAAACCCAAACTCGGGTACCCAAAATTTCTCTTGGATTTAACAATCACTGGATAGGGTCGAAGCATACCCTGTAGCAGAAACCACACCAAATGCACAATCAGAAGGTCCCTTGCCAATATTATCACCTTCAATGATTTCTAAAACATTACAGACATCTTCAAAACTGTACCTACGCTCCATGAGTCCATTGGCATTACAAGAACACAGTGTACTCGCTAAAATTAGTGGCAAAGCGGAATCACCAACACTCTCTTGAGCAAAGTTCTTAATTGACCCAGAGTCAAACCCAAGAGGTACTGTACCAAATTGAATGTCCACCACGGTATTGAACTTGTCCAAATGTCTCTGAACTGGTTCTGCGCTCCCCTGCAAGATGTACAACGGGGATTTCCTCCGTCCCTCCAGTACAACCCGAACACCCCTTCGAACCTTCAAGACTCCACCTCCACCAGAAAATTTGTACCCTTTTTCATCCAAGGTACTTAGTGATATGAGATTCTTTGTCAAGTCTGGAACATGGCGAACCTGATCAAGTGTCCTCACTGTTCTATCCTGTAGCCTCAATCTGACCCGACCAATTCCTGCAACCCGGCAAGATTAGTTGTTTCCCATGACAACTCCACATTGCTTCACCGTCTCATATGTTTGAAACAAAGTCCTATTGGGACACATATGATACGAACAAGCAGAATCTAGAATCCACTCCTCAGGTTTGGATTCCCCGTCAGATTCAGCCAACATCACATCTCCATCATCACAAAAATTTTCAGCAATATTAGTCTCGTTCGAATTACCTGATTGCCCCACATGATTTGCATGTAAATCACATTTACCTTGTAACTTGTCGCAATCTTTCTTGATGTGTCATTTCCTCTTACAGTAATAACAATACACATTGCTGTACTTCACCTTCGATCTACCCCTCCGTCGATCACCATAAGTAACAAGAGCATCCCCACTCCTAGATGCAGGATCTCCAACCAACAACTCCATCTTCTCTTTTGAGAACAGGGTGTCGTATACCTTCTCAATGGATAACGTGTCACAACTATACAGAATAGTATCACGAAATGACGAAAAAGAATTGGGTAGCGAATACAACAAGACCAAGGGTAGATCCTCTTCATCATATTTTACCTCCAACGTCTCCAAATCTGCAACGATCTCCTTGAACATAGCAAGGTGGTCCTGCAGTGACCCTCCTTTCGCCATGCGATGAGAATACAACATCTGCTTTAAAGTCAGTTTGCTTGTCAAACTCTTTGTCATGCACAACTGCTCCAGCTTGAGCCACAAAGCAGCTGCTGTCTTCTCCTTCAAAACATCTTGTAGCAAATTGTTGGATAAATGAAGTTGGATTTGCGCTAAAGCCTTCCGATCCTTTCGTTGTTTCTCTTCCATAGACAAGTTTGCTGGCATCCTATCAAAACCCAGCAAAGCATCATCAAGATCCATCTGCGTCAACACAGCTCTCACCTTTACTTGCCACAGTGAAAATCTTGTATTGCGATCCAATAGCGGAATTTCATACTTCAACGAATTCATCTTTGAAAAATCTCAATCAAATCAGGAAGAACTTGCAATCTGCAATACCCAAAACTGAAAACTACCAAACGTGCAAGGGGCAAAATAGTCCAGAACCACAATTTTGCCCAAAACTGAAATTGGACACCACCACAAGGTCCGTCTCGTAGTCTGGAGAAAACTGCCTGAAGACACCGTCGTCGAAAAATGCCTCACGCGCCGCCACTCTCTCGCCGGAGTTACTACCGCCGGCGACTGGTCGAAAAACGTGCTGACGATCTATGACCCTTTTTGGACTGTTTCTGCCTGCTGAGTCCACTGGTGGTGTTCGTTTCTCCAAACTCTTTTTGGTTTGACCAGAAAACGCAAAAACAGATCCGACAAAAAATCGAAAAATTGGACAAATTCGTTTTCTGATTTTCTAGTAATTTTTAGACGATTTTCCGATCAATTTCAGGCCAAAAATCCACCAACAACCCCGCTCTGATACCACTTGTTGAGACCGAGTGACCAATAATGCAGGAATTGAGATTTAATGAATTCCACTTGTTGTAATTGAAATATTGAACAAGATCACAAATAACCCAAGAACAAAATTAAAGTAAGTAAAAGAAGAACTGACAGACGGAACGATGTTTTATTAATTCACTATGAAAGGAGAACACAATACAGCAAAAGGCTTCTTAACAATACTGAAAGAGGAGCCTTGTATTTATAATATAAAATCTAGTCCTAAAAGAGTCCCAAAAAAAGGTAAGAAATCTAATGTAATTTAGACTCCTATTTGAGTCACATTTCTAACAATTGCTGTTATAAAAGAAGAATTAAACGAGGAAATGCAATGTCACATTCAGCAAAGCAGGCATGGAAACATCATAATAGTACTTATTTTTCTTCTTTATATTCTTCTGTTCTCTTTAATTCCACTAGAAATTGAATCATCTGTGAAAACAAAAGCAGAGGCTCTTGTAAGATGGAAGAACACCTTATTATCTCATGATTTTTACCATTCATGGAACCTCAACAACCATACGAATCTCTCCATATGGCAAGGAATTGTGTACAACACTGGGGGTTCAAAACTGAGGTAAAATTTATCTCATGCAAACATTAATGGCACACTCCAACAATTCGATTTTCCGTGGCTTTGAATCTCACACATTTCAACCTCAAAAATTAACATCTATAATTGGCAGTCTCCCCAACCTCACTTGTAATATTTAGAGATTTCCAGGCCTGGAAAGAATGGCAAGCAATGAATGGTAACAAACAAGGTCATATTTAAGGTCAGCTACATAAATACTTTTCACGACCCCAGTATAAGCCTTTGTTTGAATCCCATTTTGAGGGAAAGAATGCATTTTGAATAGTAGATTGATAGAAAATTTATGGTTAAAAATTAAGGAAAATTTTTTGGTTTGCGTGTAATATTATTTTATTGAAGAATGTATAATTGAAAATGAGTTTTAAAAAAAGGAATTTTGGAAGGATGAGGATCAAACAAGGGCTAAATATCACTTCGTACATCTCCATAAATAGACATTGCACTTTCTTTGCAACTTCGTTGCTTTCCGTTTGGTGTATTGTTAATTTCCACAGATCTTCTCAACTTATTAGTCTTCTACTACGTGTCTTGACCTGTCCATTTCTTTCTGTAGTACTTCAAGACTTTTCTCTCCTGTGAATCTTTCTGGAAACGGTTGGATTCATCTTGCAACTACGTGAGTTTTCTTGAAATTATCGTAATTTCCACGTTCTTGAAGACTTCTCTCTCCAGCTTATCTTCCTGGAAACTGAAGACCTCTCTATCCACACTTCTCTCATATAAATAAGGTGGTCGAACAGTTTTAATGAGACCATATAAAACTACTCCATAAACCAAATCAAAAGTTGACTAGATTCCTCAGCAGCTGGATGTACATTCAGAAATATTATTGACTAATCGTAGCCAAGACGGATCTAGCTGCTCGAGTGAGTTAGGGCGGAGCGTGGAGCATTTATCAAACACCGCCCAATATAACGATATTGTTTACTAATATTTAATTAATTTTTATTAAAAGAATCTTCAATCAATAAATAAAAGCACTAAAATGTAAAATAATACAAATATTAAAATATAATTCAGTACAACCCAAAATAATAAGGAATAAAAATACATTTTTTGAGTCATATACCTATTATCTAATTTCAAATTTTTATGAATTTAAGCGAGACAAGATGAAGTTTATATGTACTGGTTAATCGATAAAGACAAAAATTTAAAAACAATGAATTTTAGAGCTATTTTTGCCCTCAAAAAGTAAAATATTTTTCAAACTCTTAGAAGAACAAAGAATTTTACAAAATAAATTGATAAAACTTAACAATTAAAGTATATATTATGAAATAATAATTTCAGTCAATAAATTTTTAAAGCAATGATTTTTAAAGCAATTTTTACCAAAAAAAAAAAAAGAAATCTTTTTTTTTCAAACTCTTAAAATAATAAAGATCAATAATTAAATAGTCCAAATTTGAATTTTACAAAATAAATTGATAAAATCTAATAATAAAAGTATATACTATGAAGTAATAATTTGAGTTAACAAATTTTTTTAAAGAAATTTTTTAGAAACAAAAACTAATAATATAGAATTGTTTAATTATTATTTATTGTGTTAAAAAATTAAAAAGAAGAAGAGGAGGTGAAGGGATTCGAATCCCATACCTCTTATATGATAAAAATGGAATTCCCAATTGAGATACAAAGCTATATCAGTACTAGTTAAAACAAAATAGTATACAATTATTTAACTATTATTTATTGTGTTTGAAAAAATAAAAGAAGAAGTGAAAAGGAGGGGAGTCGAACCGGGTGCCTCTTACTTGCAAAACCAAAGTTCTACCAAATGAGCTACAATCATAATTGTGAATAATGATACAATTTTACATATTTAGCATAATAACTTCATCAACATGAAATTCCTTTCCTGCTAGATCCAGCAGAGGCGGCCGCGCCGGCTCACCGGGTGCTGGCTCCGCCCCTTCGTGGGTGAGAAAAATGTGCAAAAGGCTCAACTTATTAGACATACATGCATGGAGCAAAAAGGGGCGCATTTTCAAACCAAATTTTCTCAGTATGTCATAAACTTAAAATATTGCATGTCAAAGAAATTCAAGTTTTGGCAGTCGAAAGTAACAAATTAAGTTGTTTATGAGATAAAGTTGAGGAGAACACAAGGCAATGTCCATAAGAATTCACCCCGACTACTGAGCATATTTATCGAGAGAATTTCCCACCTTTAAGGGGTTCTTTCTCGGTTGCATCATTAATGATTCGGTAATCTCTGATTCCACCTTTGAGTTTAGGTGTTGCAATACTCCCCAGGCAGAATGTTTCAAGCGTTATCTGGGCCCCTGATCTGAGTAGACCAAGGGCGAACCCTCATCTTTTGCAGCATGGACTGCCAGGGTATCTAGTTCTGTTCGCTCCTCATGCTTTCACACCACTTATAGAGATATTAAAACGCGTGCAATCCATTTGGCCGTTTAGAATATTATGGGTAAATAAAGTAGAAGTCGCTAGTTCAATATCTCATAGATGAATTTACAAATTTGTATCTTTAAGTACAAAGATGACCAAGTATTTCTAAGCTAAGACGGTCTCTTAATCATCTCATTTAGTTTGGAATTTTTAGATCTCATGGTGGAAGACTCAGAACTTTTTGATCTCTTAGTGGAAGACTCGAAGGTTAATTCTTCAGTTTCCATGGCCTCTGCACTTGACTGATCAAAGTTAACATTAAAGTAATCTGGCCTCAAGTTTTTCTTTTCATTCTTTTTGACTATTGGGGAAGATAAAAATGAATATCAGATCGTTATAATTTCTTGTGGACGCGTTCAGAATGGGACGCTTTGAATTGCATGCCTCTCTTCCTATCTACTACTGCTATATAAGAAGAATTAAACGTGAAATGCAATGTCACATTGAGCAAAGCACAGGCATGGAAACATCAAAAATAATCCCCATTTTCCTTCTTTATATTCTTCTTTTCTCTTTAATTCCACTACAAATTGAATCATCCGCGAAAACAGAAGCAGAGACTCTTGTAAGATGGAAGAACACCTTATTATCTCACGATTTTCTCGATTCATGGAACCTCGACGATCATACGAATCTATGTAGATGGCAAGGGATTGTGTGCAATACTGAGGGTTCGACTTCTGAGATAAATTTATCTCATGCAAACATTAATGGCACGCTCCAACAACTCGATTTTGCTTTAGTTTCAAATCTCACACATTTCAACCTTCAAAATAACAATTTCAGCGGGTTTATACCATCTACTATTGGCAGTCTCTCGAAGCTCACTATCTTAGACTTGAGCAACAATGAATTCCTAGGCATAATTCCACCGGAAATTGGAAATTTGACCGAGCTTCGGTACATTAGTTTATATGGCAACAGTCTCAGTGGTCCAGTTCCATATCAAATTAGTGATCTTCAAAAAGCATGGTACTTAGATTTTGGACTCAATATCTTAGAAACTCCAAACTGGTCTAAATTCCAAGGTTTCCCCTTACTGACACACCTCAGCTTTCACAGCAACAACATCACTTTGGAATTTCCTGATTTCATACTCTTGTGCCAGAACCTTACATATCTTGATTTGTCACGAAACTACTTGACTGGTGAAATTTCAAAATCATTATTCAGCAATCAGGGCAAGCTAAGGAAGTTGAAAGATCTTCGCTTACAGTACAACTTATTATCTGGTTCAATCCCAGATTTTTTCCATTTGATGCCCAATCTGGAAATCCTTGATCTATCTAAGAATTCATTTTCAAGTCCTATACCTCCAACGATCAGGAATCTAGCAAAACTTCAATTTCTGAAACTTTGCTCCAACAATCTTACTGGAACTGTTCCATCTGAGGTTGGAGATTTAGAAAAATTGCAATTTCTTGATCTCAGTGGAAACCATTTGAGTGGGCAGTTTCCCAAAACCATCTCTAAACTTAGTAGATTAAGGGTTCTTACTCTGAGCCAAAATAATTTTTCAGGTAACATTCTATCATTCATTTGCAATGTTAGTTTCCTTGAATATCTTTTTCTTGATCATAATAGTTTGGAAGGAACAATTCCAAATTGTTTCAAAAACTTGATCAGTAAAGGGCTGAAGTTTTTGAATTTGATGAATAATCATTTTCATGGCACAATTCCTGCAATATCTCCGAAAGGATGTAAACTGAAGCATGTTATCTTATCCAAGAATCAATTGAAAGGATCATTTCCCCAAACCTGGAGAAACTGTAAGCTGCTGGAAGTCGTAGATATCGGACACAACAAGATAAGTGGCCCTTTCCCTGGATGGATGGGAAGTCTTCCAGAGCTTCGAGTTCTTATATTGAAGTTCAACAAATTCCATGGTCGAATACCTGCTTCATCAAAGGCAAGGCTACCCTTCTCTAAGTTGCGAATTCTTGACATCTCCCATAATGAGTTCAATGGACTTCTACCAATTGGATATCTAGAACAATTCAAAGCCATTATGAATGTGAGTGAAAAGGAAAAGGAAATGGAAATATACCCATATTATACATATCCTTTAACCATTTTGTTAAAAGAGATCGAGCTTGAGTCGATTCTCATCAGAAAGACCTATACAAGCATTGATCTATCCCACAACAAATTCCAAGGAGAGATTCCAAGTTCAATAGGAAAACTTAAGTTCCTACGATCTCTGAACTTATCTTATAACAATTTTACCGGCCATATCCCACCATCGCTAGAAAATTTGACTTCACTCGAAACATTGGACCTTCGTTCAAACCAATTGGCAGGACAGATTCCCTGGCAATTAACTAGATTGACATTTTTGTCAGTCCTTAACCTTTCATACAATCATCTTGTTGGGTCCATACCTGTGCAAGAGCAGTTTTTAACATTTAACAACGACTCATTTGTTGGGAACTCAGAATTATGTGGACGCCCCTTGACAAAGATATGTAAAAATGATGAAGTACAGACGAAGCTTCCCATGTTGCTGGGACAAGATGATGAGTACGACATTTTAGATGGATTCACATGGCAAGTTGTTCTCCTTGGGTACGGATGTGGAGTATTACTCGGATTGGTTGTGGGATATGTTACCTTTAACTATGAAAAGCCTAAATGGTTTATAGAATTTGTTTATGGAATCTACAATATCGTTCGACTTTAGCTTGGTGAAGAAGAAATAAGCTTACAAACATGAATATATGGTTTTCGAATTTTAGTTGCAAATATGCTGTTTAGCAAGTAAGTTTAGCACAATCCATACTATTTCGGATAGCATCGATTGATATCCATTGCCTTTATTAGGTTCATCCTAAGCGTCTCTTGTGTACAAAAAGGTGGCTTCATTTTCATTTCAAAACAAAAATTTCAAAGTGTCATGTACTTAACTCAAAAACTGCATATCATTCAAAGAAATACAAGTATATGAAAGTCAAAACTCAAGGAAGTATATATAACTCTTCTGAGGAAGTCTCAAGGTCGAAATGCTGATGAGATGCCTATTCTATATGCTGTCAAGACCTACTGGAATAATTCCGGTTTTGGCTGAGCATTCTGATTCAGTTTCTTCTTTTAAATGCATACCGAACACAACCGGCAAGTACAGGGTTAGAGAGTTAAAATCAAGAATTGATGTACAAATGGAAGGGGACATCAGAGTTAAAACTAACAACTAGAGAAGAAGGATCGAGTTTTGGATGCATAAACATAAATAAGGAGATACTATCTCCATTACACAGAGAAACTAAATTTGAAAAATGAGGGATTAACTAATTTCAACTTTGACAACTCAGAATTGTGAGGATTAACATTGACAAATAAATGCATAAATGACAAAAGGCACAGCCAAAGCTTCCAAAAGAAGATGATTTTAATACTTTAGATGAATTTACGTGGGAAGTGGTTCTAATGAGGTATCGATGTGGAATGTTATTCGGTTAGATAGAAGGATAGTAGTCTTTATATGAAATAATGTTATTTAACATCACTGATGCTAAAACATCATCCCCGTAGATGACATTAAATAATAAATTTAATTAAAGTGCTATGAAACACATCTAATTGGACTTGCATATACTGTCACATAGGATAATATTTTAGCATCAACAGTAATATAGCATTACTCCTTAAAAGCCTAAATGGTTAGTAGTGGATGTAAGTGGCATTGATCTTGTGCCCGCGGCCTACAAGAAACGAGTTGGTGGTGGAAGAAGAATAAGCTTTACATTTTCCATTTTTATTTTTATATTTTTAAATTTCTGAGTTTGTGTTTATTTTTTAATAATTTTAGTTAAGAATATATTTACCGTTTTACCCTTCTTAATAATAGTCCAATGAAATCTTATTTTTTGGTCAACTAACAAACCCTTGGGTAGATTGGGCAGATTCCTCCCAAGGCCCTTGTATTGCCTAATTTCATAAAGGTTTGGGGATTCGGCTCCATTACACTTTTTTCTCTTTTCTTTTTTTTTTTTTTCCTTTTTTTTTTTAAAATAATATTGTACGGCTAACAATTCATTTATTTTCAATTTGACCCATTTACTATGTATTATTTGATTGAATAATCCTTTATATTGGAATGGATGAAGAGTCAAAAGGTTAAATCCACGCGAGGGGATGAGTCAAGCGAATTTTGAATTAGAATTCTAAACTTTTGTCCATCCTTCGTCATAATAATACCTCAAGGTTTGTCGCGATAACTTGGCATTATGGCATATCTACTATACGCCCATTCACTAAAATATGTCTAACTAATTGGCGGGCTGCAGGGATAGTCAAAGCCATATCCAATCGAAAAAGGATGTTATCCAAATGCATTTCAAGTAATTGTCATAAAACCTATAGTGTCATTTAGCCAAAATTAATAATGTTACATCACACACGATATAATCAAGATAGAAATGAATACTGGTAAACAGCCTTAATCATGAACCTCTCTTTTAATGCATAGCGAAATAAAGAATATGAATGGAGTGACTTGATTTAAATATAAACACAAATGCAACGATCATGATTGTAACGAAAGTTAATATAAGCGAAACCCTCAGCGGCTGGATGTACATGAAGAACATATTATTGATGAATAACAAGTACAAAGCTTAACTCTCACAGAGATCATAATGCTTACCATGGAGCAAAAAGGCGGCTTCATTTTCAAACCAAAATTCCTCGGTCGGTCATATACACGACTCAAAGACAGTATGAAAGAAGAATTGAAGTATTTGACAAGCAAAAGTCACAAATTAAGTTGCTTATAAGCTAAAAGTTGAGGAGAACACAAGCCAATGCCCATAAGAATTCATCCTAAGGACCACGGAGTTTACAGTTCCTTGTCAATTCAATCTTGAGAGGAGTTAGAAAAACTAACTATGCACTTTAGCACGCTTGGATGGTGGCAAATTGGAGGAGCCAGCTACATTTGCCTCACAATATCCAGCAACTTCAGTCGCCTGATCTTTATGTTTCTCTCCCCCATCCTGATAATTTTCCCCTGCTGATCTCCCTCCTGTTTCGCAATTGTCGACTGGTACTCCTGAATCATCTTTGGAGGGAGCATTTCCCACTGCATCTGTGAACTCCTTTAATGGGTTCTCAGTTGCAGATGAAGTCCCCTTCAGCAAGTCCATACCCGATTTACACTGCTTCTCAAACATCATCTGAAGGTGACGCCCTTGTTCTTCTATTCTGAGTTGCAAATTTCTTTGAATCTGCAGAAGGATAATTAGAAATTATGTGTGAAGGGAATAACCAAAACTGCTAGAGTCACACTCGGAAATTTAATCCTTAATTTGCCTTTGAATATGTACATTAAAACACCAGTTGTAAAATCTTGATAAAGCTACAGCATTTTCACAAGGTTGCAGATTTGACAATAGGGATCTTATCAAACAAGACAGTAACAATGCAACCTTAAGATACTTTACCATCCACAAATTGAATGATAGTTGAAAAAAGATCCCTCAATAAATTGCCAAGACGTGACAATAATACAAGACTGCTTTAGTACATATTTATATACATTTCAGGATTTCTGAAATATTTGTAGCAATTAATCATGCTCACAGCAAGAAGTGTGGGTAATCAATATATCAATTAGTAAATGTCGCATCATCCACATACGACTTGGGAATGTAATATATGGATATATTATATGCCATCTTCAAGTTAAAACCAATATGCTGTATGAATTCATACCTCAAGCTGCTCATGAAGCTGCTTTTGGACTTCCATTTGCATTCTCAAAGCTTCAGTGATCTCAATGCCCCTATTCGAAAACAGACAAGCACACAATCAGGCACAAAACATTGGGGATATAGCAAACAAAAAAGAAATTCAGTTCAGTTATAAATGCATCCACATCTTTGCAATTTTTCTAAGATATTAAACTTCAAAATATTTGACAAGTTCCTCCATTCTCGTTGAAAGCACAATTATATTTGTTAAATCCAGATCATCCACACACGTCACAGATTAATCTTCCGGCTACTAATATATTTCTGAATACTATGGACTTTAGGACAACAGACATCCATATTTTCTAACAAACTACTTAATCATAATGTATAATTCCGTGTCATAGATCAGCACTATCATCCCTCAATCTCCTTTTAGGAATTGAAAGTATATTAATCCTGTTCTCTCGACAAAATCCAAGAGAGATTATATCTATCTATCATCCATGTTATTCTATGAGAATATCTGGGAGAAGAACACCATAGGGCAAAGATATGAAGTGTGGTTGTCAATGTTTGGTCCCCGGTAGAAATGCAGAAGGCAAGGCAAACAATCGCACAATGGAAAGAAGAAATGAGGCACATCTCTATTCAAAAAATTAAAAGAAGCTGAGTGCAGCAAAGGAGGTTCCTCATCCTACAAACACGGGCAAAGCCAGAAAATCAGAAGAGGAGGCAAATTTAAGGGAACACATTTAGACTAAAAGTTCTATTGAAATTATTAAATATCATGCTCAGAGGTTCAGATGCAATTGATTCTCCAAATCCAAAATCTACACCAACTGCAAGCCATGAACTTTAAGTAAAAGAAGTAACTTACGTTTTCATGTCTAGAGATGACAGATCTTCAATAGAGGTCGGGTTTTTTTCTGAAGATTCTGCAAAGGAATAAATAGGTTTCTTAAAGTGACAACAAAGATTACTCTTCATATGTATCGTAAACATATAGCATATCCAAAAAGCCAATGACAATCATGAACCGGAGACATCATTGAAGATGGTCTGTTTGTGATTAATGCTAAGTGAAACAGGGTGATAAGAAAGATATGTTCATGGTACAGGCATCGCGTTCAAGTTCAAGAGTTATGAAGGGACGATTTTGAACTTAAATTTTTTGTGGTGAACCCTTTTTTAGTATCGTAGCAGCATAGAGATACAAAGTGTTGTAATATGCTCAATTCTAACTTTAAGGCCCGTTTGGGAGGGATTTTGAGAATTGATTTTTTGACCGTTAAAAGAAAAGGAAGTTCATCTATGAGAGAAGAAGTCAAAAATTACGATTGGAATAGTGAAATAACGGTCAAAAAATCAATTTTTTGGGATAAAAAATCCCTCCCAAACAGTCTCTTAATATCTAATTACGTGATATTCACTATTTAGCTTATTATGGGCTCGTTTGAGCCACATTATTTTCAAAAAAATATATTCTTCAACAGTAATTTGATATCATTTCGACCATACATTTTTTAATAAAATAATATTACACGCAGATCTAAAATTTTTCCTTATTTTTTAGCCACACATTTTCCATTGATTTGATATGAATAATACATTTTTTCACTAAAATGTGGCTCAAACATGGGGTATATGACAATATATATCTGTGGGGTTTCTATGTGTGTGTGTGTGTAAAGATAGATATGTTGTATATGTATCGAAATTAGTCACGGTGACAATTCTAGCAGATTGAACCATAAATGGCATTTACACTGAGCGACATTAATTACTGCGTATAAGAATTATTAACTTCAGCACATAAAATGGATTTGGCTCAGATGAAATTTGATTATTTGTTAAAGATTATGAACTTATAGAATTAAATATTAGAGCACTGATTGCAATAAGAAACTATATAAATCAAAATATAAAAATTATAGCAAATGCACACCTTCTGTTGTATCTGGTTTGTATCTAGCTGTTCGGTATTTCTGCAGTTCAGGAAAAAGATAACAAACTGAGTAGACAGGGATCCACCAATGCAAGTTAAGAAAATGGTCATGACAGAAGAATACAACAAACCTGTAGGTGGCTTTTTACGTGATAGATGGTCAAACCTTCAACTTTCATTCGCTTTAGGACACCCTTAGGAGTGGCTCCTGTGGTCAATAATAGAATGAGTGATGTGAGTAGCTGCCAGATATTTTATACCAAATGACTTTTAAGTGTTAAAGGAAGAGTTACTTTCACTTCCACCAAGCTTGTTGACTGCCTCCACAAAGGCTTCATGAAGTTCTGGTGTCCAACGCATTCGTTGCTTGGTTTGAGCACAATTTGCAGAAGATGATTGAGCAACAGCCGTGCAAGTTTCTCCAGGTGTAACTGGGAGCTGATTATTGGGATGCTGTATTGAGAAATTTGTTGGCAGATTGGACATATGATGATGTATCTGCATTAACAGAACAAGGATCAAGAACCTAGTCAATTCCTTCTCTATTGTACAAAAAATAATAATAATAATAATAAATTATAAAAAAATAAAATAAATAAATGTAAGAAGAGATGGATGAATAAAGAAAATAACATCAACCTTTGGTTCTGGAACTGCTATACTTGCATCAGCAAGGAGCTCGTTCAAGTCAGCAGTCAAAGCACCATTATCAGTGATAAGCTGATCAGCCCATTCCTGCCAATCATTATGTTTAGTAAGATCCTCAGATGGAATGGCAATGCCACCGTGGTTGCTCCTTTCTAGTTGATTATTCTGGATAGACGAACTTATCGGATAATCAAGAAAATCAGGCAGCGTATCTGTACACCAAGAGGGGTTGTTTTCTTCCTTGTCATAGTGACTTGATGCTGTGGATCGAGGAACTTCAGAATCAACAGAATCAGGCAACACAAGTGATGTCCCACTATTAGTTGATTGGGATATGAGATGAGATTGCCTTGGATGGTTTTCTTGTTGTGGGACAGATGAAAAATGAAGATCGGTAGAAAATCCCGAGGATGAAGAAAATAAATGGCCAACTACCCCACTGTTGGATGACATTGGTGAAATAACAGCTGGAGAATGTTGCATGAGTTCCCTCTCCATGGAGACCTGATGGGAGTCTGTTAGTTTAGGATATCTTTCTCCCAGAGGAGTTGGCAGTACAGGAAAAGAAGAAGGCATCGTCCCAGAAATGCCAAAGTTACTAAGTTGTCTTGCACCTGATCTTTGAATAGATAAAGAAGGTTTTGCATCCATCTTGACTTGTATAAATAGCAACTTCAGCTGACGTTCTACAAAATCAGGGTAATGGAAACATTCTTTTTCTAGATCTGCTCACAGTCTTGCCAGAAATTTTTGAGGATCAAAATGCTGAATGCATTATAAGCTCAACTCGAAGTCTTGGGTACGAATGAGAGCTTCTATTGTATGCTTCTATGGCACTATGACCAGCAGGTGAGAGCTTCTGTACTACTAGCAACAAAATCAGTCATGTCGTTCTCTCCCCAAAAATAATAGCAGAACCACGAATTATACACTAGACAATGTTAGATTCATCTAAAAACTTAACTTGACTTCACTTTTTTGCGTTATGATCCTAAGGTCATGTATCTTATAAAGTTCATTTTTACTCAGATAGGATATCCAAATACAAAAAATGTAAACTGTCCGAATATTATAATAGTACTACAATAACAATTAAAACCTGCACAGACAATTTTACATGGCATATCTCAAAAATTAATTGTTAAACATTTGGCCTTGTAGAGCTCGAAAACCAATAGCTTGTGAATTCACCTAAAATGAATGTATGACTAAATGAAGCCTAAAATTTGAAACCTGGAATGAAAGATAATGAAAGCACGTGTTGCAATGCATGTGAGAAAATATTGTAACTCATTGACAAGCATCATACTAATGATTAGAATTCATTTAATAAAGTTCTAGGCTATTCTATAACTCTACATTAGGATAAACTGCATAAAGCTATCATCTTTACCAAAAAAAATAAAATGTCAACCTCATATGATCATATCAATTCAACAGGCCTGAAAGCAAAATTAATTATGAAAATAAAATTAATAATAGGCAGGCATGCATAAAACAAAAGGAGAAAAAATACTCACAAAAGAAAAGGAAAAAATATATATATAATTCAATCCTGCCTTAACAAAAATAAAAATCCGAAGCGATCTAACAAATACACATGTGCAGATAAAAATCCATAAACTTAAAGAATCCAATCAATATTAATCAACAACCCCTTAAAAAGATATTAAAAATAAAAAATAAAAAATCGACGTGGGTCATCGTTGAAAAAATCTACCAATTACAATTACAGAAATTGCAACTTTGCATAAATATCGAAAGGGTATAGAAACTCTTACCTAAAATCGCAAAAGAATCACCAAATGATATTTGAACAGCTCCTTATCAAATTCTTGTGCGATTAAAAATCAAAGGGACACGCCCATATTAGTTGATCATAGATATACATACTTATACGTATAAAAAAAGATATACACGCGTGTGTGTTCTTTGTGGAATTCAACTGGCGTATGGGGAATTCCGTCACTGGCGAGTGCCCAAAAGAATTGAACGGCCTTACTTTGCCTCTTCTGTTTGGGTTTGGCTAATATTTAATACTCCGGGTGAACTCGGAAAACGCGAGTCAGTTAGCGCGTATACACCACGCTTGGTTTTTTATATTAAAAAACACAACCCTTAATTATGCCCCATTTGGTCCTTTTACATCTCATCAAATTAAATTAAGTCCATGTTTAAGTCACATTTTAGGAAAAAAATGCATTATTCATGTCAAATCAATGAAAAATATGTGATTAAAAATGAGAAAAAGTTTTAGATTTACTTATATATTATTTTATTGAAAAATGTGTGATTGAAACGATGTCGAATCACTGTTGAAGAATGTATTTTTTTTTAAAATAATGTGGCTCAAACAAGCCCTAAATTTTTCTTTTTCTTATTTTTAATAACACAATTTTTAATAAAATAATATTATACGTAAATCGAAATTTTTTCATTCTTTTACAACCATCCATTTATAAAAATAAAAAATAAAAAAATCTCTATTTTCCCCATTATAATCAAAATTAATTGGGGGGGGGGGGGGGGGAAAAACTGCAGCTTTTTTCTTGATTTTAAACATTTTAAATCATAATGTATACCTTTTAAATTTTAAAAAAATATATATATACGATAGTATGATCTATAGATAATTTTTAACCAAAAATCAAGTGTATGACCATGATTGACCATTTTTTCAAAATAGCAAAATGGTGTTTTAACATTTAATTAATTTATATTGAGATTCTAAACTTTTCAATAACATGTAATGTGATTCCAACTATTTAATAAATATATGCCAAAGGACCTCTAAAATTTCCATTGAAAAATTTGTCAAAAGACAAAATAATAAGAAAAAATTATAAAACAATCATTTATCTATATGTATTATTGATTCGTAGTTCTTTAAAGATTCCTATTAGGAGTAAGAAATTAAGTTGATGAAAAAAAAAGTGAGAGGCAGAGAGGAAGGAAATGAGGCGACTACCATGTCCGATACTACTATGATTGCAGCTCAAGCGACGACAACAATTGTAAGGCTTAACAGTTAAGGCAAAGGAGGTTAGTTCTATATGCAAAATTAGAGGTGGGTGGATAAGGGATGATGAATATTTTTTTATCAACTGACAAAATCTGTACATGTCCTTTCAATACACATTTATGAAATGGTTTGAAATCACATTGGACATTGTTGAAATGTTTGGGACAGTCGATATAATTTTTTCTTCATGCTTTGATATAATGAAATGTTAAAATATCACTTTATCCTTCTTAAAATTGGCCAAATTATGATTAAACACTTGACTTTTTGTCAATTGACGAATTTTCGAATAAAAACCATCCGATTCTCCTTGTATTTTTTAATTGTCATTTTTCAAGAAAAAAATCATAGTTATTATTTAATACATAATTAACTATGTATTTCTATTTAATTTTGAAGTTTATGGTGTGTCATGTTTGCAGGTCCCACTTGATTGGGTTGTGACAATACACTCTAGGGGTATGCAATTGGGGGTTCAAGAATTTTAATCTTTTAAGATATATTATTTTATTATAAATTTCATTATAAAAATATTATGCTCTTTCAGTTGGCCAAAGGGGCAACTGGGAAGCCACCGGATCTTTTTATGGGGTCGCACAAATCTGGTTCCTATTAACAGCAAAAAGTAGGTAGGACACGTGTCACTCAGTTAATGGGATGTTATTTCATAAAAATATAATAATTGGTTGCCCTAGAGCATGTCATTTGGGTAATTAATTAATTCGTTGGATTTAATTAGATAGCAATTGTTATGTCCAACCTTAGACCCTCGAATTCGAATCATATCCACAAATTATAGTCGACTTGATTCTTTAGTTCCCGAGTATCATGAGCCGAGTCGAGTTATCCACAAGTCAATCCATGACCCCAAAATGAGTTGGATCATGAGCTCGGTCCATAATTTATCTCAATTTGAACATGAACTACCTATAAATCAATTCGAGATGAATTGAGCCCAAGAGCCAACAAACGGTTCGGCGCCTTTGTCACCTCTAAATGTAGCAACATTGGGAAAAATCAAAATAGATGAATTATTTGAAAAATGAAAAATAAGTAAAATTGGATGGAAGAAAAAATAATTATGAGCAATTACCCAAAATTTTGTCCATGGAAAATAATGAAATGTGACCATAACTTTGCGTCACCAAAAGTGAACATTACAAGGATAGTCCTTTGCATCGACGAGTCCTGATGAAAATTATCAATTTATCTTGTATTTTAAATATTATTTTTTAATATAACATATTGAAACTGACATATTATCTAAGAATCGCGTAATACTCTCACCACACATATCTACGGGTGCACCTGCATGTACTTGCATGCATACACATTTGACAATTTACAAGTTTAAATGTGAAGTAATTATAACAAGTCGATAATATTAGAATCTTAAATAGAACATCACAAAGTGCATATATATACTTATACCACACCCAAAAAGCACTTCCACTGGCATAGTGCAATGGATATTATCCTTATTGAACAAATATTGCTTAGATTTTAAGAAACATAGTACAAAGAATTTGGAAACTCGAATGTTCTTTTAGCCTTTGGATTTCCATCAAAACTGCTCCATCGATCACCAATGATTCCCCAGATATTGTACCCCTCATTAACCAACTTTTGTCTAGCTTCTGCTTTGTAGTGTTGCTTGTATACTTCTGTTTTCATCACTCAGGTCCCCATTCCAAGTCAAAATAGTACGATTAAATTAAATGAAAATATGTACCCTATAACATCCATTAGTCACTAGGATCTTATACTAAAACAATTAATTTTTATTCGCTTGTATTGCTCTCTCACAATCCTGATTCACAGTTAAGTTTCTCCCATTTCACTCATTGCTACTATGGGAATCGTTTTTACTTTCTTTTCCTCTAACTATTAAGATGTTTCAGTTCGTCGGATTGGACATAGAATTAGAGCAAGTTGTGGAATGTACTAAGAGTCGGTATCACTTCATTTAAAAGCTTGTACTATTAGAAAATGAGCAAATTTAATTTTCAACATGTCTCTTTATATATATAGATTAAATTTATATTCAATTGTCTGGTGCAATGATCAACACAACTTGATTCTACTCATATCATGTTGAAACATTTCATTTAAAAGATTAAAAGTTAGATTCTCAATTCAACTAATATATAATTGGGAAAAACAAAGAAAAAAATTGTTGGAAATGTACCTTAATATAAGACCAGACCAGCCATGATATCCAACCTAGAGAAGGTTGTCTACAGTGGCATCTCTTAAGGATTCTCTTCTGGTTCAAATCAAAAAAAATCTTAAAGCCTCTTCCTTTAATCTCATGGAACAAGCTGAGTGTAGGATCAAGAACTGGTGCTTTGCAATTCTCCATCCAGCCTTCAAATGATGTAATATTCAATTTCTTCCCCCCTAAAACACTCATGATCAACACAATTAACTCTTATAGCTTGAGGACAATATAATTGAATTCTCATGCACAATATTTTATAAGGGGTTAGGGATGTCAAAGTGGGATGCACGGTATTAAGACTTGGATTTTCATTTTAAAATGTTTATTAAAGGAAATAGCCCAAGTTCTTATACGTTGATTTATTTTTTCAACTTTATTCGACGTGAAGTTGAAATTAACATGTCTCGCAAGATGATGACTCATTTGAACAAACCAATTTTAGAATCTTTGTGCTCGTTTGAGTCTTAGGACTTGTTCAATCCCCATTAAATTGGAAAAATGTATTTTAAAATAATAGATTAGTGGAGAATGTGTGGTTAAAAAATAAAGAAAATTTTTGAATTTGCATTTAATATGATTTTATTGAAAAATGTTTGGTTAAAAAAAAAAAAGAGAGAAAAATGTATTTTTAGAAAAATGGGAATCGAACAAGCTCTTAAGTTTCATCTAAAAAAAAATAAAACTTATAGAGAGGAGTAGCTAGCCCATGTTGCTTTATCTTCATCTTTATTTGATGTGGAAGTATGCCTCACTCGACGGCTACCTCAAACTACCTCATTGAAACAAACCAAGCAAAGCAATGGTGAACTAGGCTCAAACCAACTAGTCACAAGATCGAGTCGTGTCAAACATGAGCCATCCCAAGCCTTTTGGCACCAATGCGTGCTTGTTTGTTGTGTGTCTTTTATGTGCTTATAAATTGTGATTCCACGGAATATTTAATTAGTAAGTTGTGGATTTTACAAAATGTGTGAATAAAAAGTACTGTTTGGTCAGTTTAAGTTATAGCCCTCGTTTAGTAGTCATTTTTATCAAAATGCATTTTTCTCCCTCTTCTTTTTAATAACATATTTTTTATTAAAATAATATTACACATAAATCAAAAAAAATTTCTTATTTTTCATCCACATACTTCCATCAAATTACTATTCTAAAATGCATTTTTACCTAAAAATGGCAATCAAACACCCCTATAATTTAAGCTTTTCCAAACATACTCAATAGTAAAGCAAAACACAAAGTAAGAGGGGAGAAGGGAGGGGATTACCCAAATCCATGACTCTTGAAATATTGCACAGTGGACAACAATGTGTCATCAACATCAAAGATCCATGCACCTTTCCCTTCACCAACTTTCACAGAATTACAGCGACTACTCAAATACACTTGGCATTCTTCAATTGCCCTCTCACAATCTGCTTTGTACTGACTTGATCTCTTATATTTCCCTATGTAACCAATACATTCTTGAGGGACAACCTCAAATTGTCTTATGTTGTTCAACTCATTATTAATCCTCCAACTTTCACAGTATTTCTTCAAACCAGAACCAGAAACAACATTATTTTTCTTCCTTTGATTAAGAATGTTCCAATCTGCCATGCTGAGCAAATCAACAAGCTTATTACAGCTAAGAGAAAAATGGGTTTTCTTGCCATGTGAATATTGACAGGAGAGAGATCTGAGAAAGATTTACCTAATTTCATGAATATTTTTTGGGGCTACCTTAATGATTGCTCACATAGGCTGTGGGGTGTGTTATGTCGTGTC